CAATCTTCTCAAAACTCTGGATTATGATAGAGGGCTGTGAGACTTTGACCTGAGTGCAAAAATGGAGGCTCTAGACCCTTCCAGAGCTGAGATATCAAAATTCAAAATTTCGACCCGAAAAAAAAACGACAGTGTTACCCCTTTCGTTTTTTTTTCATTTCCGGGCAAAAAATTAAGTTTCTCCAATCTTCTCAAAACTCTGGATTATGATAGAGGGCTGTGAGACTTTGACCTGAGTGCAGAAATGGAGGCTCTAGACCCTTCCAGAGCTGAGATATCGAAATTCAAAAATTCGACCCGAAAAAAAAAACGACAGTGTTACCCCTTTCGTTTTTTTTTTTCATTTTCGGGCGAAAAATTAAGTTTCTCCAATCTTCTCAAAACTCTGGATTATGATAGAGGGCTGTGAGACTTTGAGCTGAGTGCAAAAATGGAGGCTCTAGACCCTTCCAGAGCTGAGATATCAAAATTCTAAATTTCGACCCGAAAAAAAAACGACAGTGTTACCCCTTTCGTTTTTTTTTTCGTTTTCGGCCGAAAAATTAAGTTTCTCCAATCTTCTCAAAACACTGGATTATGATAGAGGGCTGTGAGACTTTGACCTGAGTGCAGAAATGGAGGCTCTTGACCCTTCCAGAGCTGAGATATCGAAATTCAAAATTTCGACCCGAAAAAAAAAAACGACAGTGTTACCCCTTTCGTTTTTTTTCATTTTCGGGCGAAAAATTAAGTTTCTCCAATCTTCTCAAAACTCTGGATTATGATAGAGGGCTGTGAGACTTTGACCTGAGTGCAAAAATGGAGGCTCTAGACCCTTCCAGAGCTGAGATATAAAAATTCAAAATTTCGACCCGAAAAAAAAAAACGACAGTGTTACCCCTTTCGTTTTTTTTTTCATTTTCGGGCGAAAAATTAAGTTTCTCCAATCTTCTCAAAACTCTGGATTATGATAGAGGGCTGTGAGACTTTGACCTGAGTGCAAAAATGGAGGCTCTAGACCCTTCCAGAGCTGAGATATCAAAATTCAAAATTTCGACCCGAAAATAAAACTACAGTGTTACCCCTTGCGTTTTTTTTTCATTTTCGGGCGAAAAATTAAGTTTCTCCAATCTTCTCAAAACTCTGGATTATGATAGAGGGCTGTGAGACTTTGACCTGAGTGCAAAAATGGAGGCTCTAGACCCTTCCAGAGCTGAGGTATTGAGATCCCACGTAGCATTTATGCATTATAAATATCTCAATATCTCAGCTCAGGAAGGGTCTAGAATCTCCATTTTTGCACTCAGGTCTAAGTCTCATGGCCCTCTATCAAAATCCAGAGTTTCAAGAAGATTGGAGAAACTTTTTTTCTGCACTAAAAAAAAAAAAACGAAAGGGGTAACACTGTTCCTAAGTCCTCCTCACGGGTAGGCGTACTGCGGCATATTTCCTTTGGGATATGCTCCCCAGTGTACCTTGGTATTCCTGTGTCAAGTAGAACTCCTCGTCAGTAAGTTAGTGCGTCAGGGGTCAGACTTGCGCAGGGCACTGGAAGACAGCTGTGAAGGTGGCGTGATTACACGGGGGACCCCCATTCTCCGTCATTCCGACGTAACTCGGAGTGACTACGAAAGGGAACGTCTCGGTTACGTATGTAACCCTCGTTCCCTGAGTAGGGCACAGAGACGTTACGTCTCCCTGCCACTTCCGCTGTACCGCTGGGTAGACGCCTGAGTTCAGTCTCGGCTCCTCAGCGAAGACATACTGCGGTTGCGTCCGCTTCCTTCTTTTATACCCACCAGGTGGGACGGAGATACGCTATGCAAATTCCGCAGCCCCAAGGCATTTTCATGCCATTGGCTCGTTTTTTAATACTCGAAGAGGATTGACTTTCTATGCGAAACCCCCATTCTCCGTCATCTCGTCATTTCAGCATTTTGTCCCTCCCAATTGTTTCGATGTCCGAGGTTGAATTGTTCGCGTCTGATGACCAATCTCTCGTTGCCCAGGATCCTACGCCACATCTCACCAAAGCAGCAGCGAGTGCTCGCACCGGTCTAAAATAGCTTTTTGAAAGCGGCCCCAGATCACGTTAAACATTTGTTAGTGTAACCGGCCCAGTTCTGACCACTGTTACCACTGTTACGAACTGCGTTGTGTTTAATTGAGAGACGACACGGGACACTGGAACTGCTGCTGCTGACGGAGGGTTTATTATCCAACCCGGTCTCATCCCAAGACAATATTTGCCTTTTTAGGGCCCCCTTAAACGTCGGTAGATGAGGTTATGGGATCCTAACTCTACCCCAGACCTAAACCTAACTGACGTTAAAGGTAAAGCGTCAGTTGTATGACGGCCCGGGATCGCCATCTACCGACGTTTAAGGGGGCCCTAAAAAGGCGGATATTGGCGTATGGTCAAAAGACGTCCCAAGACGTCAGTTATATGACTTTTTGGGATGAGACTGTGTTATATTATCATGAGCATGTAGATGGCACTGGATGGATTGAAGAGAATACAGCAATGAGAGAAGTTTTCTGTGATTTGATCACCTCTCCACAGCGCACTCAAAGCAGTCTCAACAACATCACAACGGGAATAACATATCAAAATGCAATGCATGACAACACGCGTCACAACTATTTATCATAGCATACAATATAATCTCTTGCAGCTAATTTTAAATCAATCATGAATTTGAGAAACAAATGAATGCAAAATGAATACATTGGAAGAAAGATATAAACCATACCTGGATGGATTAAAGAGGAGACAGCACTTCAACAGACAAAAAACATGCAAATATTTGCCAACATGTCTGCTTTGCAGAGTCCTCTTAAGCAAAGTCTTAAATGAGTTAAATCAAGTATTAAATCAGTTAAATCAAGTATTAAATGAGTTAAAGTCTTAAATCAGTTAAATCAAGTATTAAATGAGTTAAATACAATTTTATGTGTGTGAGATGCAGGTTTATTAGGTCAGTGCTTCAGACCTAATAAACCTGCTGTCTGTCATTCATTTTAATCAAAGAACAAAAGACAAAGAAAATCATTCTGCACTCGACTTAACTTAGCTTTAATAAGCATATTAATCTATATTTAATTTATAATTTATGCAGTGAAGACTGTGAAGTGTTTGATAACTTTATTCAATGTCTGTATATTTCCTATATATATATATATATATATATATATATATATATATATACTGTATATTTTTGTAATCACAACATTTTTTCTTTTGCCAAATCAACTTCATTAATTATAAATCAACTATAATTTATGTGGTTCAGATAACATATGATTAAATGATGATTCTGATGATTAAATCAGTGAAATTAAATCAGTGAAATTATTACAATATAAAAGTATATTGACCCACTTTGGTCCCACTTTATATTAAGTGGCTTTAAGTACTATGTACTTGCATTGAAAAAGAAGTACAATGTACTTAGTGTGCTCATGTTGAATTGTAAAACACTTTTGCTGCTATTGAGGTGTGATGTGGGTAAGGTTAGGGACAGGTGTGGTGGTCAGTGTTGGGAGTAATGCATTACAAAAGTAATACATTACAGTAACATATTACTTTTTGCTGTAACGCAGTAGTGTAAGGCATTACTAATCAATTTTCAGTAATATTTTACTCGTTACATGTTCAGTGAGGCTTGTATTACAGTGTATTGTTTGCTTTTACTTCTTAAAGGCAACAGACTATGTGAAAGTTTTAAAGCAGTCTTTTAGTGCCGGTTCAGAGCGGTCACGTCTGTAACATTGTTTTTTCCTCATAAATGCAAACACGAAAACTAAAATAAAATGAATATTTTAAGTTCTATGGAGACTGGAGAGCCAACCCTTCCTCATCCGATTTGCGCAGTGTAATTAACAGAATTACAAAAAATCGATTTTGCCTCCTATTTTTTTGTCACGCATGAATGTGTGTCTTTTCCCTAATATTAAAAATAAAACATAGACTGATATTTGTCTAATGTCTGGAGTCCTTTAAGGAAGTAGCCTATATACGTTTCAATACATGAATTTTCTGAGAATTTTTATTTCAAGTTTTGACTGCAAATGTCATGTCCATAATGCTGGACTTCCCCAATTTTAAATAATTTATCCTCAGCTAGTTTTGTGGTGTAGGTCTACGTATTTTATAATGTTAACTTCAAATAATACTAATAGCCTAATTTAAAGATAAGGCAGCATTGGATCTGGACGGTAAGGAGAATAACGCTGGAGTTGGAAGAGACGTGTCGCGATTCTGTAGGTTCGTGGATGTGGCGAATCGCGATTTCGGTTTCATATTGCATATCGTTACAGCCCAAAAGTTAAGTTCTACTTAGTTATTTTGGTGAAAGTAACTCAAAAGTAATACATGAGTAATGTAACGCATTACAATTCTGAGACAGTAATATTGTAAGGTAATGAATTACTTTTAAATAACAGTAACAAGTAATACCTAATGTATTACAGTTTGGAAGTAACTTGCACAACACTGGTGGTGGTATGGGTAGGTTTAAGGGTAGGTTTAAGTATAAGGGATGGGTCAGCTGTGTAATTATAGATGTAATTACATAAATTAGTTACAGCTGTAATTACATGCTGGTTATTTTTTAAATATAAGTACAATGTAAAAACATGTATGTACACAATAAGTCCATTGTATCAAATTATTCGTTTCAATGTAAGTACATAGTACTTAAAGCCACTTAATATATAGTGGGACCATATATATATATTGATTGTCAGCATTGATTAAAACATAACCAAAATGTATGGTTAATTCCTTGTTAGAAACAAGTTAAATCTAAAGGGGACCTTTGGTTCGATGAAGCTCTCAAACTGTGTCTTCCTCTTTCATCAGTTGACAGTTGTGTTTGTTTAGCTGTGTGGACCATACGTTGGTCTTTTGTTTCTTGGGAAACTTGGCATACAGTGATGTCACATGAAAATAACCTTTTCCAGATATCGCCCAGACAAGTGAAAGAATAGATTTGCATAACGGGTAACCATCGCCTCCCAACAGAGCACCTCTTTCAGACACCTCCACCTCAGCCAATGGGATGTTTGCAGTGCCCTGGCAAAATTTCACATATCTGATCAGTGTTTCAGTCGGAGCGAATCCCTCTTCAGACGCTCTTCACTCTCTCCAGGTGGGAAACAATATTCATACTTCTTCATTTATAGCAAATTATGATTCCTATTACACACACATTATTATACAGTTTAGCTGTTTATTTGGTAACACTTTACAATAAGGTTCATTAGTTAACATTAGTTAATGTATAAACTAACATGCACTAACCATGAGCAATACATTTGCTACAGTATTTGTTAATCTTCGTTGATGTTAGTTAATGACAATAAAGCTGTTTATTGTTTGTTCATGTTAGTTCACAGCGCTAACAAGATTTTAATAAAGTATTAGTAAATATTGAAATTAACGTTTACAAAGATTAATAAATGCTGTATAAGTGCTGTTCATTATTAGTTCATGCTAACTAATGTAGGTAACTAATGTTAACTAATGAACCTTATTGTAAAGTGTTACCGTTTATTTCAGTGTAGTTTTTAGAAATTATGTGACTTGATGTGTGATGTGTGCATGAATTTAGAAAATTGATTAGTTCAAATAAACTGTTTTAATTCCAAAAGATAAACTAATAGGATCTTTTCAAAAACAGTAAATGATTTGGACAGAAAACTGATGAATGATTTGATTGTTGAATGTTTTAATTCAGCGAGTGAAATAAAGATTGATAACTTATGAATTGTAGATGTTTTTCTCATGGTGATTTTTCTCAGTGTGTTTGACAGATCTGAACACACACACACACACACACGGACGACCTTATCCAGCAGTGTCTCTGATCAGTGTTTTGACTTCATCCTTCAGTCCAGCGTGAGTCTTTCATTTAGCAATATATGAGCTATATTTTTTATCTTTGCATCATGGATTAATTAAATTGAAATGAATTAATTTTCTAACATTGATGAGATTTACTTTAGTGTCATGTCATTGACCTAACTGCAATTTGTATGAATTTTACAAAGTGGATAATTTCTAGGGATTCATACAAACTCACTCACTCACTGGTAAGATGTTTGCTAAATCAGTCGCCCAATCGTATGAATTATCCACCCGTACTTCGTGAGATAGTGTTTGTCATCCACACAAGTGTATATCATCCTATACTACATACTGATTTACTGTAGTAATCCCTTTACTTCTGTTTGCAGCAGTTACAGCAACAGACATGGGATCATTGTTGTCTTCAGGTCAGAACACACACACACACACACTTGTAATACACACAAGACACCTGGTGGATACTCCAGGATACTACACTTTGTACTGTATTTTGTAAGTTATGAATTATTAGAGTAATCTCTTAAAATGTTTAATGTCTGATACAGGACCAGAGATGCCTCAACCGTAAGTATTTCTTGTTTAAAGCTTTGACTTTATCTTTACTAACTTCATAATCAACTGATTATAATCCAAATGAGTACATCATATACAGTTGCTTAAAGTTACTCATGTTTATATTGACAGTGTAACTTTTACTGTATTCAACAACAGCTTCTTAAACCACAACGGATCATGATCACAATCACATTTACTTTACACACACAACTATATATACATGAATTAACTTATAGATAATAATATAATACTTGCAGATACTTTAAGTCAACTTTTTTACATAGATTGTTCTATTATTATCATAATTTTTGCTTGTGACACTGTTGTGACGTTAGCAATGATGGACATCTGAGTTATCAAGAGAAGGACAGAAAATATATATCTAGTGTTGTCTACTTATGAAAAATGTTTTGATATTTCAGGGAATTCAAAGATCTTTGTGACGAACTCCAACGGCACATTGATGAACTGAACAGAAATTATCAAACTCTCACTGCTGAAATACAGAAACCTGAACTTGATTTAGTTCAGACTGGTGGCGCTGTTAGAAAAGTACAATTAAGCATGGACAAGATGATTAAGGATCTGACAAATAATCATCAAAATAATGAAATACAGAATAGAGTGAAATCTGTGATGAAGAAAATGGAAAAAACTCTCGAACTGCATAAGAAACTAAACGGCTCAATCGATACTCTATTGCGAAGTCTTAACAATTACAAAGTCAACGGACAACACGAGTCAAAAGCAGGAGAAATCAGATCAGAAACTTCGAAATTGAGTCCTCAGATGAAAGAAATAGCAGCTCAATTTCAGAAGATTCTGGAAGAAATTAAACATGGCTAAAAATAAATTAACAAATTCATTTAAAATCTGTTTAGAAATGATTGGACTGATCTGTGTGGTTTTATCATCAATAATACAGTCAAAGCGAATCCCTCTAATCTGACATCTTTACAAATGTGTGCATTTAATGATGTATAAATCATGCAGAAAGTGTTCAGTCTTTCAAAGCAGTGAATTCTGAATTATAGAAGTTTATATTCTGGCATTTTCTACTGTAAATCTGATGATTTCAAAGAAACTCACATTACAGCCGAGGTCAGAAAATAGTGACGAAAATGAGCTCAAATGTACTTTCTTTGTAATGTGATTAAATTACTCTGGTTGTCATAAAGGTTTTTGGAAGATGTTATTTTACGTTTGACTAGAAACTGTTTGCATGTTGTTTTTTCTGGTTCTCTTGACATTGGATAAACTCTTATTTGTCTTGTAAATGAGCCACTTACTCTGGAGTTTAGATTTTGTTAAATTACAAGCATTTTTAATATGTAACTGTTGTGTAATGTAATGTAAAATCAAAAATCATGCTTTCCCAGCTGATGTAAATCTCAATGCCAGATGATCAATCACAAAATAAATGTACATCTGATCTCAACAACATATTCTCTACATTGTGTGATCTTTTATAAGCATGGGCAGGTATTGAAAAATCATCTTTAAGAGGCGACATGATGCTAAAATAAACCAATTTTTGTGTGCAATATTCAATCTTGTAACTGTTCTTGTTCAGAATCAGAATCAGAAAGAGCTTTATTGCCAAGTGTGCTTATACACACACAAGGAATTTGTTTTGGTGCCGAGGGAACGCACCTTTGATGGTATTGAAGGCGAACTGAAGTCCACAAAAAGGATCCTCAGGTCTGTCGAGATGTTGCAGGATATAATGTAGTCCCATGTTGACCGCATCATCCACAGACCTGCTGCTCTGTAAGCAAACTGAAATGGATCTAGCCGGGGTCCAGTGATGTCCTTCAAGAGGGCCAACACCAGTCTTTCATCGACTTCATGACCACAGACAGGTATGTGAGAGCGACAGTATTAAAAAGACAGTTAAGACTTTGAAATTCATTGTTGATATGTTTTAGCTCACCTCAAGGGCATCCTCGAGATGTAGGTGTCTTTGTTTCCACAGTAGTTTCCAGTAGTTGACCAATTTGTGCAAAACCTTGTGTTGTTTTAAAGATGCAAAAATTTTTCCATCTGGACACACAGACAATGATTTCCATTCGAATTTGTTTCTGTATTTAAATGCCATCGCTGAGCATTATATGACCAGAACCAGCTCGTCCAGATGGCGATATTAACTCTACTACATATGTTTATTGTAACATTTGCTCTGTCGCAGCTTTTTTTGATGGATTATTAGCTGTTAAAGTACAGAAACAAAAAGCAATTCAATGTTTATACGTTTATTGGAAGAAAGTGACCAAAAAAAAAGTTTTGTGGCACATTTCAGCTTCCTTGATCACAGTAGCTTGTAACAGTTTAAAGTTTGTAAAAAGTTGAGTTATATATAAAAAATACACAACATTAAGGACATCTCCAATTTCTCTTTACACTGCAAAAAATGCTTTGTGTTTTCCAGTAAAAGGGAAATCTTGTTTTCTTTTCAAAAGTCTTTTTTAAGTCTTGTTTTCTGAACAATGTATCAAAATGAAGTGTGTTTTTGCTTGGCAACGACAATAATCTGTTTTCCTTTTAAATTCATTTTATTGTTAGATATGTTTTGAGCTAAAAATAAGATTCCTTTTGCGTCCTGAGACAGTTTGAGGAACGCCTCAGCGTGACACTTCTGGGTGGTCAGCGGGGTTCAACGGGACGTTTGGCCACTTCAGTGGGTAATCGGACAAATAGTGGGTTCGTGGGACGGGGGTGTGGCTTGGAAGTGGTCAGCCGGGGTCGATGGGACATTTGGCCACTATAGTGGGTAATCAGACAAATAGTGGGTTAGTGGGACGGGGGCGTGGCTTGGAAGTGGTCAGTCGGGGACGACGGGACATTTGGCCACTATAGTGGGTAATCGGACAAATAGTGGGTTCGAGGGACTGGGGCGTGGCTTGGGAGAGGTCAGCCGGGGTCATCGGGACATTTGGCCACTATAGTGGGTAATCAGACAAATAGTGGGTTAGTGGGACGGGGGCGTGTCTTGGGAGTGGTCAGCCGGGGTCGACGGGACATTTGGCCACTATAGTGGGTAATCGGACAAATAGTGGGTTCGAGGGACTGGGGCGTGGCTTGGGAGAGGTCAGCCGGGGTCATCGGGACATTTGGCCACTATAGTGGGTAATCGGACAAATAGTGGGTTTGAGGGACGGGGCGTGGCTTGGGAGTGGTCAGCCGGGGTCATCGGGACATTTGGCCACTATAGTGGGTAATCGGACAAATAGTGGGTTTGAGGGACGGGGCGTGGCTTGGGAGTGGTCAGCCGGGGTCATCGGGACATTTGGCCACTATAGTGGGTAATTGGACAAATAGTGGGTTCGAGGGACGGGGGCGTGGCTTGGGAGTGGTCAGCCGGGGTCGACGGGACATTTGGCCACTATAGTGGGCAATTGGACAAATAGTGGGTTCGTGGGACGGGGGCGTGGCTTGGGAGTGGTCAGCTGGGGTCAACGGGACATTTGGCCTCTACAATGGGTAATCAGACAAATAGTGGGTTCGTGGGACGGGGGCGTGGCTTGGGAGTGGTCAGCCGGGGTCGACGGGACATTTGGTCTCTACAATGGGTAATCAGACAAATAGTGGGTTCGTGGGACGGGGGCGTGGCTTGGGAGTGGTCAGCCGGGGTCGACGGGACATTTGGTCTCTACAGTGGGTAATTGGACAAATAGTGGGTTCGTGGGACGTGGGACACTCCCCTTAGCATGGTGGCATTGGGATATCGTCCCCCAAAGCGTCATCGACACAGTGCGAGTTCCCTTTCGAAAGGGAACGTCTAGGTTACAACTGTAACCTCTGTTCCCTGAGAACAGGGAATGAGACACTGCGTCTCCTCGCCATGCTTCGGGGCTTGCTACCGAACAGTGCCTTCAGACGATAAGGTTTGCAAGTCGCCCTTTTATACTACTAGGTCACACGTTAATCATTAACGCTACGCAATGCTAATGTCGCAGGTCAATGTGATTGCCGTGATTTTATTGTGATTTCAGACACCTGTCACGCCTGAGGCGTTCCCTAAAGGCCATCAAGACAGTGTCTCGTTCCCTGTTCTCAGGGAACAGAGGTTGCAGTCGTAACCTAGACGTTTTACAGGAATTAACTAACAAAAACTGCACTGTGTCCTGCATTCAATTCACATCAAGATCTGTCCAGGGACAGCAGATGTAAAATAGCCTACTGGCTAATTCTGGCACACTGTACATTTAATCATGTATCATTAGTGTGCATTGTCCCTGTTAAATAAACCTGAAATAAAAAAATAATAAATAAATAAATAAAATTTCTGAATTACAGATGAGGGAATAGTCAAAGGAGAAGATGTAGGGACTTTTGGAAACAAGTCACCTCATGCATTATTATACATTCACTTGCTGATCTACACTGAAGATCTTCTCTGACGAAACGTGGAGTCTTTCCACATGATCTCCATGAAATCCTGAACAGTTGGAGAAAAACGTAAAAAAGTTAATTCATCAGTCGGGTAACGCCAATTTTTACAGGTTAACCTAAAGCTGCTGAACGCAATGTCCAAGCTTAACGAAACTCAGCACACAGAGACAACAAGACATTCTGAGGATGAGGGAAAGAGAAAGAGAGAGGAGGAGAGACAAGGTTGATCATGTGATACACATTTAAACGGCTCATCCTCCGTAAAACGTATATAACTCACACACACTCTCCATCGCTAACGAAAGAAGGACGCCTTTGATCAACCATGAAGAAGCTCTTCAGTTCCCTGTGGATCTTACTAGGTAAAGTACAACATACATTATCTGCTATTTTACTAGATTCACACTAATGTTAACACTGTATTAAACTATGTTTCTAGTATAGTTTGCACTCATCTCACCCTCTTCTGTGGATTTACTGCATTTTTTTTCTTTCCAAACATGTTACATTTATCGTGGTTAGCATAAAACACCTCTCTCAATTTATAGATTGTAAATGAACTTCATCGCTGGATCTTTGGAGTGTTTTTTGTTACTTTGTTATTCTAGTTCTGCTTTACAAAACAAATCTTGAAATCAGTGCTCATTTGTGTATGCAAATGGTTTCTCAAGAAAGTCATGATTCACAGGAGCGTCTTCTTAACTCACTTCAGATGACAGTATTTTGCAAGATGCAGATTATTGTTAATGTGTCAGAAGTTTTCACCAGCTTGGCCATTAATACACATATCAATGTTTTACAATGCCTTTATCATTCAGATGATGTGCGATTAATTAGTGACTATTAAAGTGAATTGTTTGGAGAAAAAGTTTACTTTAATTCACAGAGTGGCAGAACCTGGTGATGTGAACTCATTTAAATCATTTTTTTTAACCCAGGGCTTTCATTGATTCAAGAAATGGTGAATGGAGAGGAAGGTAAGCATCTATTTGCTTTCAAATATATTTTTATCTCTATTATATTCATTTCGTTTGAACTGACCTTTTCTTCCCAAACCACATAAAACACCAGTATTTTTATATTTTCTGTTTTCACTCTAATTTGAAAGTTTTATTAAAGACCAAATGTTCAACAAGAATTAATAAAACTGTATTTTTACTGGTCTTCTTTCAGAGAATGTAGCATTAAGGCAAAAATCCACCCAATCATCCATATACATGAACGAATACGCCGAATATGCAGTTGATGGTGTACGTGAAACCTATGCCCACACTAACACGCAGACGGACCCGTGGTGGAGAGTGGATCTGATGAAAGTATACAGAGTCAACAGAGTAGCCGTCACTAACAGAGTGACCCCCTCTTATGATACCAGGATAAACGGGGCAGTGATTCGCGTCGGGAACTTTCTGGACGTTTACAACACCACCATGTGAGGCCTCCTTTGACTGTTTTGATTAATAAAGCTTCAGATGAACAGAAACTGATAACAGATGATCTCTCTCTCGCTCTGTAGATGTGCTGTAATTTCCAATATTTCATCTGGAGCCACAGCCAACTACTCGTGTGGCGGTATGGTGGGACGTTATGTGATTGTCCATATTCCTGGAGATCTAAAGACTCTTACTATTAGTGAGGTTGAAGTCTATGGGTATATAGCAGGTAATTCTGTTTTGTAGAACACTTTTCAATATGTCATGCCATACAAAACTGAAAATTGTTGCACTTTATTCATGTCCTCCCAAACCAGTGACATTCTCAAATCTCATTCACACAAGTGCATGTTCAAACTTTGAGTCTCAAGACATGTCAGAACTTTATTCTTTATATCCCAGGAAACCGGGCGTTAGATGGAGCCGCTACACAGTCGTCAACATCTGGGGACTGGTTTGCTGGAAACGCCATTGATGGTAATCGAGGTTTCCAGCAGTTGTACACGGGATGCTCCTCAACCCTTAATCAGACTAACCCGTGGTGGAGGCTGGATCTGCGTGATATGTACCGAGTTAGTAATGTGGTCGTCACTAAAAGACGAGATTGCTGTCCAGAACAAATAAACGGAGCGGAGATTCGCATCGGGAACTCTTTAGCGAACAACAGCAACAACAATCCCATGTGAGACTCTTGAGGTTGAAAGTACATGAGAGCTTGAGCACAAATGAGAAGGATTAATGTGAATGTGAAGATTATATTATCTTTATCTCGATCTGTTTCTCTCTCTGTCTGTAGATGTGCTGTTATTCGTTACTTTCCAGGAGGCGAGACCTACAGCTACTTGTGTAATGGGATGGTTGGACGTTATGTGAATGTTCATCTTCCTGGAGATCAGAAGATTCTTACTCTTTGTGAGGTTGAAGTCTACGGGTATTTGGCAGGTAATGGCCGAGGCTATGTTTGTATGTTTTTTCCCCCGATTGCTTTGCTCCCGGGAGTACTGGAAAGAGTTCGCAGGGACCGTCTTCACCTGCTTCTTGTAGCCCTGTGGTGGCCGGGTCAAGTTTGGTTCGCAGATCTAGTGTTTCTCCTAAATAGGCTTCCTATGGAGTTTCCCATCTGGTGAGACCTTCTGTCCCAAGCAGAGGGCTTGATATTCCACCCTCGTCCCAAACTGTGGAAGCTGTGGGCTTGGCCTCTGAGGGGGCCCAGCTCATAGGGTCAGGTCTCTCAACCCAACACAAAGTCTTGTTCGCTCTTCAGGAAACATTTTCAGGCATTTTATTTAAAAAGTCACGGACAGCTCCTTAACGTTTCTGAATTTATTTTATTTACAAAGCTAAATAGATATAAACTGTCAGTGAGCGCATGGCACGGCTGCCTCATAATACCGCATTAAAAAGCTATCTTTGTGAATAAATAACACAGTCTCATCCCAAAAAGTCATATAACTGACGATCCCGGGCCGTCATACAACTGACGCTTTACCTTTAACGTCAGTTAGGTGACGGGTTAGGTTTAGGGTTAGGTTTAGGTCTGGGGTAGAGTTAGGATCCCATAACCTCATCTACCGACGTTTAAGGGGGCCCTAAAAAGGCGAATATTGACGTATGGTCAAAAGACGTCCCAAAACGTTATATGTTATATGACGTCTTGGGATGAGACCGGGTTGGAATAAACATGTCCTCGCCTTGTGGTAGCTTGAACCCAAAGGGGAATCGGATATGCATGTTTAGACGGAGGTCGGATGTCCAGATATCGAATATGTATCTGATTTAAAACCACATTTGGAAGTAGCTCAGATCTGATGCGAAATAATCGTATCTCAGGCAGATTTTTGTGTTTATACATGTGCCAAAAGGCAGATGTGAGTGAAAGATCAGATATTTTGTGCCAGTGTAAACTCAGCCTTTAAGAGCTGCAATAATATTTGTGCTTGTTCTCTGTTTCACAACCTTGCTAGAAGACACCCTTACTAATTTTTCGATTCGTAAAGTCTTTGTCTTGCGTTAAATAAAGGAAAATCTGCACTCTGAGTAAACAACTGATCCAATGCCTCTCAGAAATGACTCAAGTCATTGTTCGCTAATAATCTTCCCTTCTGCTACAAACTTTGTGCATTAATGTAAAAGCCTTGTTTTCATACATTTTCTAGAAAATCTGGCAGTAGCTGGAGTTGCTACACAGTCGTCAACATCTGGGGACGGGTTTGCTGAAAAGGCCGTTGATCGAGGTTTCCAGCAGTTGTACACGGGATGCTCCTCAACCCTTAATCAGACTAACCCGTGGTGGAGGCTGGATCTGAGACATATTTACAGAGTTATTAAAGTAGTCGTCACTAACAGACAAGATTGCTGCGCAGAACAAATAAACGGAGCGGAGATTCGCATCGGGAACTCTTTGGAAAACAACGGCAGCAACAATCCCATGTGAGACTCTTGAGGTTGAAAGAGCATGAGAGTTTGAGAACAAATGTAAATTTGAATATATGACTGATCTGCTTGATCTGTTTCTCTGTCTGTAGATGTGCTGTTATTCCTGATATTCCAGCAGGCGAGTCCAACAAGTATTTATGTGGTGGGATGGAGGGACGTTATGTGAATCTGATCATTCCTGGAGACATGAAGACACTCACTCTCTGTGAGGTGAAGGTCTATGGAGAAGGTACACACTCATATTGGTTTATAATATCAGATAATAATAATCTCTTCACGTGGTCATATTAATTTGTCAACAAGACACAGTGAGGAACAGGGAAATGGAAATTTAATAAATGCCAATGTGTAGGTACTAGGTTCTAATATTTAATAAGTTAAATTCTAAGTTTTACGTATTTACATGTATGACTGTGTTTGTTTAGGTCCCTGTTTAAAAAGGTCAGTAGTAAAAATGCAGTTAAAATCCATCAATGATTTGACTGACCCTTCAGTGAGAGAAAATGTTCTGAAACAGGTGAGAGAAAGAAACCCATTCAACCTTTATTGAATACTGTGAGAAGCATAGATGTTGAATATTAGGCCAAATTGTTCTCAAGTCATTTAGTTTTTGCTGCATTTTATAGTAAATGGCATTAATTGTTTCTTTAAGAACCTTTAACATTCATGTAATCTTTCCATTAATCAAAATGTTCTTTATAGTGGTAAAATGCTATAAAAGCTACTCTCAGTGCTGCGCTGACAGTGCTATGGGAAAACATTTTTGTTTGACCTGTTCTGAAGTCAAGAACACGCCAAGAACAAGAACATGGCTTTAAATAACATATTGATGATGTCATTAGAATGCACACTCGTGGAAAGCTATAAATAATTCTGAAGAGTTAAATGACGAAATAGCTATCTGGAGATGGACTTTGAGAACGCCGCCTCTGAGCACTCGTCCCTCGATGATGAAGTGCATGAGGAGTTATTCTGTGGTCTCTTGTGAAGAGGCCAGATTACAACTTGACTGGCCACAGGAGAAAGAGCAAGTGATAAAGTTCACATTTCTGTCCGACAGCAAGGGGGGGGGAGTCTCAGCGACGGTCTCTCCAATCTGCAAGGTCCTTTTCATGACGAGTTAAAGCATTCATGGGGGAAACCTTATTTTTCACATGACTCTGTGCCCTCAACGTCGACTTATTTGACTATGGTGGGTGCAAGGGCACGTGGTTATACGCTGATGCCCAGTTTGAAGAAACGCTCGTGAGCGTTGATCATTTGGCACATGCCCAGCTTCTCTCAGGGTATTTGTGGCTGTCATATCGGCTTGCCATGCCCTGATTGAGTCGGGAAGCACCCTCTGATTCTCCGCTTCGTCAATGGAGTGAGGCGGCTAAGCCCTTCCGTTAGAGCAAAGATCCCTTTTTAGGTCTTGGCCATAGTCCTCCTTGAAAAGCAAGTTGAGAACCATTAGGTTCAACGCCTGACAAGCTTCTGACTTCAGGGCTTTGGCAAGAGGCGCTACCTTGCAAAAAAAGTATGTGATGCGGTAGGCTGGTTCTCTCCATGTTACTCCAGGCTCACATGCCCTTGACTTGACATCCCAAGCTCATACCTAAGGCCATTCTTGTGTTTGTGCCACACACTACACAAGCTTGCGGGGTCCAAACACTTCCAGTGCAGCAGTGTCGGTGTTCCCACAGCGCTGTCAGCGCAGCATTAAGAGTAGCTTTTGATAGGGAACATCTCGGGTTACTTGACTGTAACCCTGGAACGAGATGTTAACGGTGGAACGAGATGCTGCGCCGCATTGCCACACTCTTCAGACATCTTTTATAGCCTCTCATAAGCACAAGTTCTAATGACGTCATCGTCAGAGGTTAGTTAAAGACAAGTTCTTGTTAGCCACACGTACTTGAGAACCGGTCAAAAAAATAAATAAAAAATGTTTTCCCAATGAACTCAGTTCATCATGTCATTCCCGCTTTTCAGGGAACAGGGTTGCAGTCAAGTAACCCGAGATCTTCTTCACATTACTTTTTTTTTTTCTTTTTACGGATCTCTGAATATAGTTCTTCTATGGTATAGCTGTGAAATAAAACACCTTTTGGAACCTATTTCAGTGTAGATTTATTGTACATCAAATTATTATGACCTGAAGATATTAAGGACAAAATTAGTTTTACTGCAAAGCATTTGCACTTACAAAAAGAGAACTGGTTTAAATGAAAACGCCACTCTTGCTCCTCAAGATCTAACATTGGGCAGACGTTAAATGTTGGTTGAAAATGAAAAACCTGAAATGCATGGCAGTACACTTATTATCAGCTTCACATATGTGTGTATCAAAATAATATATTCTGGATGACACCAGTGAAAAAGACCTCTAAATGATGATTGTGTCTCTATTAAGTAAACAATTTGGTCTGATGTTGGAGCTTACAGTCAAAGAATCGTCTTCCTGACGTCACAATGACATGCTGTGCTTTTTAGTGAGGAATGTTTGAGTCTATCATCCCATGATCTAATCTGTTCACTATGAATGTTATTTTCAGTTGGGATCTGCTCTTGCTAAAAGAGGATTCACAGGTGTGACACTGCGATGGACTCAAACTCCTAAACGGGTGATCCAGAAGGTGAACAATGCTATACGTAAGTCTCTTATCACAACTGAAAATAAGATGCACAAATGGAAATGAGTATAAAATTATAGTAATGTGTAATGAGCAAAATATTTTCATTTACAGGTCCTTGTGAGAAGAGAAAATCCCCTTGAAATCAACACTGTCTTACTCACTAAATTTACATTCTCAATCAGAAAATACCTAGCAATGCTGTTGATTTGTGAATTTACACATGGTTGGTCTTAAATCATATTAAAAACGCCACATAGACATAACATTAAACGCTTCATTTTCACCAAAGGGGGCTATAAATCAATTTTGCTTCACTGTTTCTGTGTATTCAAACCTTTAAGAACCAAAAAAGATTGTATAATGGTTATACCATATATTAACTAATGGCATTAAAAATATATAGTAGTAAATATAATATATATCAATTGTTGTTTACATTGAAACTCATAGTTGTTATAAAAAACAAAATGACCCAGAACATCACCAGTCATGACTTTTCTTGCTTTCTAGACCAGTCTCTTAAAAAAAAACCCCTGTTTTTTAATAGTGAAAACAGAAATATTACAATTTAAAATATCTATTTTCTGTGTAATATTCCTGATATGAAAGCTGTAGTTTCAGCATTATAACTCCAGTCTTTAGTGTTTTACTGATTGCAAACTTTTGAGCTTTTGTCACTTGATCTCTAGGATAGTATTTTTCAGTTTGCTTTTTAGATCTACTTTACTAATCAAATCATATGTTGAATAGATGCTCCTTTGTGTATGTAAATAGTTTGACAGCCGACTTGATGTTTGTCAGGCAAGGCAAGTTCATTTATGTGGCAGATTTCAGACACTATTTCAAAATGCTTTACACAGAAATGAATACAAATTAGAATACAATAAAAGCAAGGGAAATTAAAACACCTTGCACATTTCTCTACATTTTGCAATGACCTTGCATGACACAATACCATGAAATATGCCAGTTAATAACGACTGTGAAGATATTAGTTTTCGGATACTAAGCTATTCATTGTGGAGTTTGTGGTGAAGTGAATATCGGCTTTTGCCGATATCATCGGATCGAAGATGCGTCCATAGTTCAAATTTCCCACGATCACAAAGGACACTAATACACATGTGCACAACAAAAAATCCAACGCATTCTCATCCTTTAACGTCATATAGAACGCTATATGACAAAACGGCGCTATACTACGCACATGGCACCCGTTATCGTTAATATAACACGTGCTGTGAGGGCTAAGTTTAGGTGTGGGGTAGGGTGTGCGTGTCATATTCACGCTAAAGGATTTATAACGTCTTGGGTTTGCGTGTTATATTAACGATAAAGGGTGCCATGTGCGTAGTATAGCGCCGTTTTTGCATATAGCGTTCTATATGACGTTAAAGGATGAGAACGGGCTGAAAAATCACAACATGTGGATGGCTCTTTTCCGAGGTTACTCAACTTAAAGAGTATTGCCTCACAAGCGGAGCAATTAATTAAATAAAAAATGCATTTGTATGTTTTAGTTTCTGTGTTTAATGAAATTAAACTGCAGGGAATCGCGAGAAATGACCGTGTTGATTACATACCAAACCGCACAAAACTTTGGCAAACTAGTCTTGAACGACGAGCTATTATTAATTCGTATAGTTATAGAATTAACTGTAGAAGATATCGAAAGCATGTTACAACTTCTATGTTTCACTTCTAGTGAATAGTAAACACTCAACTTCAATTAACTTTAGCAATGTATAAATTAAAAAAAGATGGTTTGATAAAAATAAATTATCATTAAACATTAATGAAACTAACTTCATGTTACATTACATTGGACATTACTTGTGGCATCCCACAGGGGTCAGTTCTGGGTCCAAAATTGTTTTTGTTATATATAAATTATCTATGTAAATTTACAAAGACAGTGAAACTAGTGCTATTTGCGGATGACACAAATATTTTTTAGTGGAGATTACTACTTCAGCAATGTATAAATTAAAAAGAAGGTTTGATAAAAATAAATTATCATTAAACATTAATAAAACTAACTTCATGTTATTAAATTCGGATACAGGTGGACATAGAAAGGGTTAATGAAAATAAGTTTCTTGGGGTGATAATAGACGATAAAATAAGTTGGAAATCTCACATAAAACATGTAAACTTTCAAGAAGTATTTCAATATTGAACAAAGCGAAACATGTTCTGAACTACAAATCACTCCACATTCTTACTGTGCGCTGATATTACCATATTTAAAGTATTGTGTAGAGGTTTGGGGTAATACTTACAGATGCAGACTATTATCTTTATTTATGTTACAAAAAAGAGCCATAAGGATGATTCAAGGTGCTGGTTATAGAGATCACACAAATGTACTATTTTTAAAATCCAAGACGTTGAAATTTACTGATCTGGTTTATGTTCAAACAGCACAAATAATGTATAAAGCAAACAATAACCTACTCCCTGGTAATATTCAACAACTGTTTTTTTTAATAGAGAAGGGAGATATAATATTATAAAAACAATTATGTGTCCGTACAACATTAAAAAGTTTTTGTGTATAACTCATAATCTCAATGATCTGTTCTTTTGTTTTCAGTAAGCGGTCTTCTCTGCAATTCAAACTGGGAGATTTGAACATATACAAATAGAGGCGAGCTGCTCAAATGTGATTAATCTCTACAGCATAACGTTATTTTTGACTAATTTATTTTGTTACAGCCTATGTAAGCAAATGCCAAATTTACATCCTATTCATGGACTGTAGCTGCCAACTTTTGACTTTAGTTTACAGATTAACTCAATCTCCACCAACACCGAAGTTCCCCTTCCCCACGGAAGACCTCACTGGTATGAGCAGCCGAATCAACGATACACTCACGACTGTTATCACCACAAATGCCCAAGTCAATATCAAACTGGAAATTTACTCTCTTTAACAGTTTAATCGACTATTTCTTCCCCTGTGTGACTCCCCAGTCCGTCTCAAACTGCGCTCTCCTCCAGTCTGACACGCTCTTTCTCATCCGCGCATGAGTTGCTGTCTGAGTCATAGGGCAGATTCACCAGAGAATTTAATCAAATATCAGGCTATTCCAACACATTCTCATCCCAAAAAGTCATATAACTGACGTCTTGGTACGTCTTTTGACCATACGTCAATATCCGCCGTTTTTAGGGCCCCCTTAAACGTCGGTAGATGGCGATCCCGGGCCGTCATACAACTGACGCTTTACCTTTAACGTCAGTTAGGTTTAGGTCTGGGGTAGAGTTAGGATCCCATAACCTCATCTACCGACGTTTAAGGGGGGCCTAAAAAGGCGAATATTGACGTATGGTCAAAAGACGTCCCAAAACGTCAGTTATATGACGTCTTGGGATGAGACTGCGTTGGCTATTCCTGCCCCGGTTACATGTAGTAATCGTTTGAGCACTGTGCTGATTTGTTAAAGTTAAAATTAGGTGATAAAAGGAGATCAAATATAAAAATATAAAATTGATAGAACGCTAAAAAATTTAAAAGCGATGGAGCAAAACGCTCAGCAGTGAGCAAGAGCGTTCGAACATTACATTTTGTACAACCCATTTACAAGTTTTCATTAATGTTTAACATATTGAATTTCTAATTTTAATAACTGTCTGTCCAGTGATCTTCCAGCTGGTTCTCATAATGAGGTAGCGACTTCAGCACATTATCAGGCTATGTTTACACGGAAATGATTCTGAAGAGAAAATGCAAAAGTGGCGTTGCGTTATTACTTTTTATTCTGCGTTTATACGAGCGTTTTGGTTGGGAAATCCGCGTGCATTTGATGCCGCAAAAGTGCGTGAAATTCAATGTAGTATGCACTCCAGGCGGCTAGGTGGCGATGTGGAGCATTACCGCACAACAACACCAACCTCCACTGTCAAGCAGACTTTAGTGTTTTTACCATTTATTTTTAAGATTTCTACTCTGGATGGTGGTTTCACTTTTTTGCGTTTTTAAGCCTCAAAAACGCCGTTGCCATGGAAACGAAAGGCACATCCGATAAAATATTTGTACGTTTTCACCCGCGAGCGTTCTTGCATAAACACGGCCTAAGTCGGCAACCTCTGGACCTCGAATATTTATAGTTCATTCATATGCACACAGGAGATGGTGTTGTTTAGATCAGATTTCTCTTTCTGAGAGTATTGTGGATGGTCTCACAGACCTGTACAGATTAGTAACTGAATTATTTTGGAGAGAAAAAAAAAAAACTCTCCTTTCAATTAAATGAAATGTTCTCGTTATTTTTTGGAGAATGAAATAAATATCCTTGTGTCAGTAGACATAATCACTAATTTAGCACGCATTTCGCTCGCGTCCAATGTAGAGAAAATGTAAAAAAGCAACATATGATGGCTGAGCTTTCAGCTTATACTGTAGATTCCCCTATCCTAGAGAGAGTGAATCGGTCTTATCTTTCTGCATATCTGCTTGGTTTGGAAGCCTCTCCCTGACAAATAAAAACAGACTTGGTAGTTTGGTCAAAGTGGCGAACAAGATTTCCAGGAAAAGTCAGGCTCAACCACACTCAAAAAAAAAAAAAAAAAAATTTTGCTGCTTGTTGAAATTGTTTAATTAAAACGAGCTTAAGCAACACAAATCTATACATTTTGTCCAAACTTAATTTGATTGTGTTCAATCTACTTAAATATGTAACATTTAAGTTTACTTAATCTGTTTGTGTTGGATTACATAACTGAAACTGGGCTGTGCTTGTTAGTTCCCAGCATTCTTTGCATATGGCTGAAATAAGAGAGAATACATTTCTAAATTAAATGTTATTTTATGTTTTTTGTTTTTTTGTTTTTGAGAAAATGAAAAGGAGAAGACTTTATAGTGCATAATTGTGTTTAATGTTCAATTATATTGCAAGCATTTAAATTACAGTGGGTTACAATTGTGGAGAAGAATAGAGCATTTGGTTAGCCTGAAAACTTAGCAATCCTTTCAGCAAATGCATGTAAATCTAGGTTACGCATGTAAATCTTATCATTTAAGAAGCTAACAAATGCTATTGATAGATAGTACTTATACTAGAAATGTATTAATGTGACATTAAAATAAACTTTATTATATTGGATGAATGAATATTATGAATTTGAATACCTGAAACGTATCAGGAAGCCTTTTTAAAATCACTGACAATATTAAATTAAGCTGTGCCCAACCATAGTGAATAAGTTCAATCAACTTTAGTACATTAAGTTGACTCAATGTAAATACATTCAATTGGAATAAC